TTTTTTTCAACTATGTCCAAATTTTACCACAGTTAAAATATACGTTATTTTTCACACTTACCTTAGACCTACATTTGCCACCAATGCCAAATAATGACCACAAGTAAAGTATGAATATAATTCATATAGAATAGTCCAGTAAACTTTCCTAAGGCCACATGCAATTCTAATAATGTAGAAAAATTGACAGCAAATTCACAAAGAATTTAAGGCAAATAATTAACAAATAATTCTTAGGTCTAGCAACAGGCAATGGTTACCCCTTCATGGTAACCCCAAACCTAATGTCACCCCACGCGATGACCTCTAATGCAAAAAATAAATTACTCTACACATTTATTTCAACTGTAATAATAAAAAGCAAAGAATACGATACCGAGCGGACACGTCTGAAAGTCCGTAAAGATCGAGAGACGTGAATTCACCACGGACACGTCTGAAAGTCCGTAAAGATCGAGAGACGCGAATTCACCACTTCAGGACTATCACTCTTCATCCTAAAGTCAACAGCAACCACAGCAACACGAAAACAGCACCCAGCACCCGAACATCCAAGGGCAAAATCGTCCAACTTTCACTGTATTGCTTCAAACTGAAATCTGAAAACACCGCAGGGTCCATCTCGTCATGGGGAAGATTCTATCTGAAGACTACATCGCCGGAATCCTCCAGACGCGCCCTCACACACCGGCGGTTGCCGGCCACGCGCCGGCGTCGTCCCAACCTTTCTGAACCGTCTCCACCTGCACAGTCCAATGGTGGTATCCATTTCTTCAAACTGTTTTTGGTTTCATCAGAATACGCTAAAACAGATCCGACAGAAAATTGAAAAAAATCGAACAGTTTCTGTCTCTAATTTTTAGACCCATTTCTAACCACTTTCAACCCGTTTTTAGCCCCAAAAATCACAGATTTATCAACAACACAAGCTTTGATATCATTTGTAGCGAAAATCCCTCGATAAATCTTGATTCCGGGCTCATAAAATAATCAATACCGATTTACCTTGGCTCGACCCGAGACTTTCACATTCATTTTGGACTGCTCTCTTTCTCTCTAGCTCCACAAAGGAGAAGGGTGGTGGTGTTAGCAATCCACAAAGATATGGAGAGGAATAAGAACAGTGGTTGAATCTTACTCACAACCTCACATGGCTACCCTCTCTCTCGGTTGCCTCTCTTCTCTCAACTCTCCTCTTCATTGCTACAACACACACGCACCACCAAAAATGGCTGGGAGATAAATACATATATATAGGTTAGTTTAGGTCACTCTAATTGGGCCTAGGGTTCACTAAGCGGGCTACCAATTAACTTAAACTAATGGGCCAATATTCAACTTAAACTCAATATTCAACTCCAACTAACAAAATAATCATCCAACCCAAACCCGAACCATCCAAAAGTGTAGTTCATCTCCGAGTCGAGCCAAGTCCATGGTGTCGATAAATAATCCAACAACTGTTTTAAATCATCGCCCGGATTATTGGGTATCAAAAAACCCAACACCATCTGTAATAAAAATCTGTACAAGTAGCATTTTCCTATATAGAACTACTAAGATATTGTTTTAAAAGGTGTTGGCAATAAAAAGAATAGAGGATCAAAATCGACAAAGATAGCATGGTTATGTAATATATGTGATAGATTCTATAATGTCCATCTACATGTGCTATGTGGATTCATGTGAAAATGACATGTTCATTGAATTACAAATCCCCCATGGAAACAGAAAGGTTGAGCTCTCTTTGGTCTCACCATAGGTGCTCACTGTGCTAAATTAAAGCGCATAGCAAATTTTTTTTTAACACTGGATTTTGGCAGGGTATGTGGTCGTGTTAAGCTGCCACACCTCTTCTGTTGTAGTGGGATTATACCAAACCCGAGTGAACAGACTGGTTGAACGCACATTTATCATCATCATTATTATTGTCGTTATCATCGTTATTATAGTTAGAATCTGTGTTGAGCTGATTCTTGTTTAAATTTTGTAGTTCACCAAATGGAAGCTTAATGCTTCAACCGTGGGGTTAATTACCTTCTTTCCCATCTCCTCAAAACTGTTAATTATAGCAATTACTTATTAACATCCCTCTAGAAAATATTTTTTTTGCAGATAATTCGAACCAATTTTCACAAGAATCGAATTGAATCATTTCCCAATGCTGAATTTTATCACCGGCTGGCATCAACAAAAGGAAGATGCAATTACAGTTCCTTTACTCCGTTATCGTGGCACTACTTGTGTTATCAAGACACGTGTCAATCAGTGGTGGGACACAAAATATTATAGAAATTATTTAGTTAGGGCTCGTTCGGTAGTGATTTTGAAAAGTGAATTTTTTATCGTTAGATAAAAAGTGAATCCTACTTGTGAAAGAAGAAATAAAAAATGACGACTGAAATAGTGAAATAACTATAAAAAAAATTGATTTTTTGAGAAGAAAAATCACTACCAAACTTGCACTTATGTGGTACTTCACAACTCATTAAAGTATGATTAGACAATTTTAAATTAAGTCTGTTTGTTAACAATTTTTCACCTCAAAAAATTAAATTTTTGACCATTACTTTATTATTTCAACCGTCATTTTTTTACTTCTACACTCATATATGAGACTCATTTTTTTCTCTAATGGTAAAAAAATTAATTTTAATAATTATTGTCGAACATTCCCTAAATAAGAGACTATCAAATAAAGGGGGGAAAAATTAATAAAGCACGTTTATAGTCGTGCATTAGTCAAGTTAGACCGCTTAATTTTGCGCTTAGTGTGAAGGAGAGATGTTTCGCGCTGTGGAAATGCACTTTTTAAAACGTTGATAAAATCATTAATTTTGTGAGAAGGCTTACAATATTACTGTGGTCCTAACAACACCAGATCTTAATCTCTAACAAACTGTAGAAGGAAAAGCCGCATGCAATGCTCCTAGTGTATGCTTTTCTGGACGGAAGTATTTCTTCATGTCTAATTCAAATTTAAAAGCTTACAAATATAAAAGGTGCATTTCCTGTATATGTTCACATTGTGTTATGGCTTTCACTCTATTGATGATATGAATCAAGCAATCGACTCTCTGTAATTTTTTGGTGAAGATCTATGGAAGTGTGATAAATGTATTTTTTATATATAAATTGTGAGCTTTGAAGGTTCTTGTTCGATTTTTGTAATTTTCATCGTGTGGGTCTTAATCTAGAAATTAGCACTGATTTTCATCTAAAGAACGGGCGGTTAAGCAAATGGTATTTAGTTGCATTGTTTTAAGCTACTGGAAATTTGTGTGGCGATCCCTTCTATTTTGAGTAGTTTCTTCAATTTCCCTCGTCTTTACTAGCATGTTTTAATGGTTTGTTTAGAAGATTAAAATCTCAATAAACAAGTTTAGGGATGCTGGTGAGAGAAATTCCAATTATCCCAATTAATTGATGCACATACGAACAATTTATACACAGTTACTAGTTTCATATTTAATTTCAGTCCACAGCGCTCTTTACTGATTACGTATTGTGCTGTCTATCGCGATGATGATATGCTATAACACATCATATACGAGTATAAATGGCTTAAATTTCAATTAATGTTCTTAATTTTTCTTCATGATCTTGTATATGTTTAATCTTCGATGACTTTTTCTGTGATGCTATGAAATATTAAGTAAAGCCAGGTCACCGATATTGCCAATAGTTTAGGATCTTACTAGTGAATGGTTATTGTTATGTCTAGCAGAAACACATCAGAAGCAAAGTCAAGGGAAACCTGGAAACTCGAAGTATAAGATTATGCGAAAAGGAATGCAGATATGAAATTTGGGAAGGAATTCAAGAAACAAAAAGTGCCGGAGTGGACAGAAGCGTATGTAGACTATAATGGACTCAAACGAATATTACAAGAGATATGCCGTGTCAAAAAAAGTAAGCTACCTCCAGCTCCACTGAGAGCTACTCAACAAAGATCAATACTATGCAGAACCTTTAGTGGTTTAAACCCAGAAGCTGGCAATCTCCAGAATTCAGAGGACATTGAGAACCCAGTAATAGCTGTTAATACAGTGCAAGAGGAGAATTGTAGAAAGTTATACAACACTGAGTTACTGGTGTCCCCTGAAGAATTGGAAGAGAATGAGATAACCTTCTTCAGAAAACTTGACGATGAGCTCAATAAAGCAAATACCTTTTACAAGGACCAGGTTGAGGGAGTGGCTAGGAAAGCGGCTTTGCTTAATACACAAATGGATGCTTTGATTGCATTGAGGATCAAGGTGATGAATCCAAGTTTTCATGGATCTAGTTATCTAAGACGTCTTTCCACGAATATTGACAACTTGTTCCCCTCAAAGATCACATCTCCAAAAAGAGCAGAGACTTTTGGTAGGTGCTGGAGCATCATTTTGAATATTAATCCTAATTTTTATTGAAGAGGAACTTGATGTCTTGTTGAATTAGTTGGTTTTCGATGCAAATTGCAGCTGTAAAATTGAACCGGTGTCAGTTGAATCAAGTTATTTTGTATAACATCTTAAAAGAAACAATGGTTATGATTCTTTAACACGTGTAATTTGTCAAGAAGACCAAAACTGAAAATTCTGAAATTGAATGACAGTGCGTGTCTTCTGCAAACATGTTAGCATTTTAAAGATGCCTTCCAAGTAATTGATTAAATTAAGACTTTTAGAGGTTCTTTGAATATTTTTTATTCTGAAATGTTCTCTCATTCTAGAACTCAGTTAAGACCAGTTTCTCAGCGTCTATAATTTGAAATTTTGAATAGGATAGTTGACAAATATTCCAAGACCTCGAAGAAGCTAACGTGGTGATTTTGAAATTGTATATTGTATAGGTTGATTTAGGGATTCCTTGATTATAATTTTCATGAATCATGGTCCTTCTACGTCCAGAGTGTTGCTCCAAATTGTGATGTAATAATTATTCAAATCCTAAAACAAATACAGTCTGTCATTTTGATTTGAGGCTTTAGTTCATTTACGTGCAGGAGGGAGTCTAATGGATATGAGACTTGGAGTTAAAATGAGTTTCAATCAGCAAGGACATGACTCTCCTAGTGTTAACGCAGTTATAATCATAATATTTCAACACTGCTTTTACCGAATAATTTATTTTATTCTCAATTCAAAAACTTGCCGATTTTCAGTGGTAGAGCATATGAATTTAACACCAGAAATGGAATTGAGATGCCAAGGACTGGAATCTGACATCCATTCTGAATCCGATAGCGCTCCTGTGGCACACTATGTTGGTGCTTCAATAGACGAGGCAAATTCCAGCGAATGCAAAACAACTCAGTTGGAAATCCTTGATCGAGTTAAGATTTCCAATAATTTTGAAACTCCAATATCAACAATTAAAGGAGTTTTCAAGGACTCGAAAGAGAAGGATTTGAGTTTTAAGAAAGAGGAACTTAGAGAAGTTGAGGAAAGGCTGAAACATGTTTTCGTTGAGTTCTACCATGAGCTTCGCCTTCTAAAGAACTACAGGTAGTGTATTGCAAAAATGTACGCGTGAATTATTTTCTTTCACAAGTTTCCCCTTCTGCTTTATATTATTTGTTACTCATCATTTGTTATGAATTAGTAAACAGCTTCATGAATCTTTCTGCTTTTTCCAAGATCCTAAAGAAATATGAAAAGGTATTTCTTGGTGGATCCAAATGCTATTATGATTCCTTATGGTTGTATTTGCATTCAAAAACATAAGAAGACAGAGGCATGTTTCACTTATCAAAACAAGAAAAAGAAGTGGAATTCTTAAGCCTGTCTGGAGACTGCATCTATTCGTTAGTGTAAAAGTTAGTTACTTGTTGCACCAATGCAGATCACATCTAGGAGGGCTGCAAGATCATACATGAAAATTGTGGATAACTCTTACATTGGGAGTTCGGATGAGGTTTGTCTGATTTGCTTTTTCTTCGATTTAATGGAAGGTATAATAAGATTGTTGGCTGTTTGAATTTATCTAAATACAAGTTCAAAGTGTGCATCTCTTATATATTGAGTAAATCAATAGTTATGGAAACACTTTGTATTTTCATTTTTCTCTTAATTGAAAAATTGTCCATTTTTATTGATGCCAATGATGGATCTAGATTTTAGACAACTGACACCAGCATGTAGTATACTTTTGGTTCGTTTGTCAATTTTCATTGATTGATACAACATTACGATCAGAAGGTTAATAAAGTGATCATGGAACTTTAACATTCTTAGGCTTCTTTTGATTCCATCCAAAATGAAGCCTGCATAGATATTGGAGTTCAGGAATAACAAGATAGCAACTTCAAAATATTATATGGATTAAAACATGCAAGTGTACATCCCATGTGGCTGAATATTGATCGAGATGAAAATAACTCAGATACACATTAGAGGTCATTTAACCAGTCTGCAAGATATCAGTTAAGTTATTTGGATAATTCATATAAATTTGATGTCCCTGAAATTTGCTTTCTTCTTCATGAAAACCACAAAAAATGCATGCAAATGTATGGCTAAAAATCTGGGAAAAAATTACAGAATCATGCTACCCTGAAATGTATGTAAAGGAAAAAACTTCATAAGCTGTCATTTCTTGCTTTTGAACAAATGACAATAGTTTAATTTCTCGTTCATGTAATCCCAGATTACAACTCTCATGGATCAGGTGGAAGTTACCTTCATTAAGCACTTTTCAAATTCTAACCACCGGGAAGGCATGAAATTGCTGAGACCAAAACAGAGGAGAGAAAAGCATCGTATAACATTTTTCTCAGGTAATTTACTTAGGTAATCCTATTACATTTTTATCTCAGCAAGAGATCTTTTTCGGAGATTAAAGATGGATGGCTTTCACAGCTCTCTGATGTTCAATGCTTCCAAGTGAAAAAAAATTATTGTTCTCTCACTTCTGTAATTCACTATGGATCTCCAGGTTTCTTTTCTGGTTGCTCAATTGCTTTACTTGTTGCTATTATTCTACTCATAGAAGATAGAAAATTAACGGATAAAGAGAACACAACCTGGTACCTGGGTATGATCTTCCCACTCTACAGGTAAGTCAAATCTTGATCAGAACTTCTTTGATACAAGCATAGTACATCATAACTGAGTTAATTTTTATCCATGCTACGATTTCACTAAAGATATAATTATCACCTTTTGCAGTTTCTATGCATACATCGTCCTTCACATGCTTGTGTATGCCACAAACATATATTTCTGGAGGCGCTATAAAATCAACTACCCCTTCATATTTGGTTTCAAGCAGGGAACTGAGTTAGGTTATAGAGAAGTCTTTCTCCTCAGCAACAGTCTTGCAGTGATTACCCTTGGAACTTTCCTAGTACACTTGTACATAAAGATGGACTCAAGAAAACAAGATTACAAGACATGCTTTGATCTTTTTCCTCTGGGCTTACTCATAGTGAGATATTAATTAATTGTACCAATCATTTGCTGCGTCATGTACTCAATGTCTTGACTAAGTACCTTCTGTCATGTAGGTTGTTCTTTTCATTGTATTTTGCCCTTTCAGTTTTCTCTACCGTTCAAGCCGTTTCTTCCTTATCAAGTGTGTGTTTCATTGTATTTGTGCTCCTCTTTACGAGGTACATCTGACATGGAGAGTTACCACCTCTACAACTTTGAACTAATTTATAGTACCAAGCTGATTTCCATTAGTTATATTCATTATTGCAGGTGACACTTCCTGACTTTTTCTTGGCTGACCAACTTACTAGCCAGGTTCATGTCATGTCAATGTTACTAGTGGTCAAAACTGCTCCTCCATATCTCTGTTTATGAATAGTTTACCTTCTGTTTGAATGCAGGTACAGGCTATAAGGAGCTTTGAGTATTACATTTGTTTCTACACTTGGAAAAAATCATCTCGGAGACAAACCAAATGCAGCAATCATGATGCTTACAATATTTTCTACTTCATTGTTGCAGTAATCCCATATTGGTTTCGTTTCCTCCAGGTTCATCACATTTAGTCCTTGTCTTCTAGTAAACTTTTATTTGATGTATCCTAATTCTTAAACAATAGGAAGAATGGGTTTGAATAGATGTTGACTGTCAGCTTGACTGAATTGATTATCACTAAACAAATATAATTTCCTCCAGCTTCCGTACTTGCCACTACTTGGTGATTTATGATCAGTTACCTAGCAGATTTGTGTTGTTGGCCTACTGTGAGTCTACTATCCGCTTACTAGTGCTGAAACTTGCTGCTCTAATCAACTTGAAGAGCTTGTTTACTTTCATTCCCTCTTATAATTATTTTTATATAGTTCACTCAGTATGTTTTTTGCTTCACGATGTCATGCTTTTCATATGATTGTCTGATATGTACTCTATAAAAAAAAAAAAAAAAAATCCACCATCTGTATAAAGGATTCCTCCTGTATAGAAATTTTCTTTACTTTCATGCCTGTAAATGCCGAGAAGCACTGAGACAGGGCCCATTCTTTGATGCAGTGTGTTCGTCGATTGTTTGAAGAGAAACACATTGCACATGGATACAACGGTTTGAGATATTTTTTGACAATTGTTGCTGTTGTCATTAGAACAGCTTTTGAACTAAAGAAACAATTCACATGGCAAGTGTTGGCTCTGGTTAGCTCAGTTATTGCTACTATGTTTAATACATATTGGGATATTTTTGTTGACTGGGGGCTTCTGCAAAGAAAATCAAAAAACATGTTTCTGAGAGATAAACTACTGGTTTCACACAAAAGTGTATACTTTGCAGCTATGGTAATGCTCAAACAACTCTTTTTTTTTTTAATTATTTATATGACATTAGTCGTCATGCCAATTTTTATTCAGGGATTTTTCTTGTAGATTTTGGACATTCTCCTCAGATTTGCTTGGCTTCAGGTTGTCCTTGTATTTAATGTGCATTCTTTGCGTGGAACGACTATATCAAGCATATTTTCCTGCCTAGAAATCCTTCGCCGTGGAATGTGGAACTTTTTCAGGTATTTTCTCTCGTATTAAAAAATAAAAAGTAAATACTCAATAATTATCTTGGATCACCAGTATTATTACGAAGCATGCGGAGGCTAGTAGCAGCTTATAAAGCTGCAAATTGTGACCGTATACACTTAAGAAGTTATTTTGAATGCTATCAGATTGGAGAACGAGCACTTGAATAATGTGGGAAAATATCGGGCATTCAAGTCTATTCCGCTTCCCTTCAATTACTATGATGACGATGATGAAGATGACGATGACAAGGATGACTAGGTGGTCTAGGTAGGCTATATTCGATCCACTTTTGTAGACTAACCTATATGATACGTTTGATAAAGAGTATTTGATGGAGAAGAGGACGAATAAGAAGCAATAATTTTGTTCATTATCCTCCTACCCTTGCTTAGACCCCAAGCACATGTATTTTAAGGAAATTGGCAGGTACAGCTTTCCAAACTATTTTTAACAGAACACTTTGGTTCTCGAACCTTTTTGTCTTTTGAGTCCCTAGACTTCAATTTTATACCTTCGTTTGAGCCCCATTATTTGGTAAAAATGAATTTTGGAATAGTAAATTTTTGGATAATGTGTGGTTGAAAAGTAAGAAATAGTTTTAAACTTATGTGTAATATTATTTTATTACTAGTCTTTGACACGTGAGTTACACGAGTTTTGTATTTATTGTATTTTTATTAGCATCCAAATTGTAGATTTTTCAAAATTGATTAAAAATTCGAAATATTTGGTGAAATCTAATCGTTTGGTTCATTACATTAGCGCAGGATGCAAGGAGATTTCTTTTTCATTTTTTATTTTTTTCAGCATTTATTTATTTTTTATTTGTTTTATTCATATTATAAATATTTTTTTCAATCTAAAATACTTTTTAGTTCTTTTTTCTTTATAAAAAAACTTAATTTTTTCAATTTTAATTAAAAAATATTTATACTGTAAGAAAACACTGCAACACGCAATTTTCATACATCCCAAAAAATTTAAAAATAAAGATAGTATAACACAGAAATTATTTTATAAAAAGTTACTTGTAAGTAAAAAATTTGAAAAGAAAAGAATTTTAAATTGAAAAAAAATTATTTGTAACGTAAAACTACGATACTGATTTCTCTCGGCACCATATTCATATGTATTTATATTTTGTGTTTCATATATATTTAATATTTATTTTATGCTTATGTTGAAAAATAAAAATCTGAAAAAAATTTTGAAATTCAGTTTGGTAAGTGAATGTACGGTGTTCTGTATTCTTGACATTTGTAAGTGCAAAAATCTGTATATAAAAATACAGCAAGTTACAAATACGGTAGGCAGCATATACGGTAAGTTGCAAATACGCTAGGCAACATATACGGTAAAGTGCAAATACGGTAAATTGTTTGCAAATACGGTAGGCAACATATACGATAACCTGCCTGCAAATATGGTAAACTGCATATATGGACTTATAATTTGTTATAAATGTATAAAATTTATTTAATATTGAATTTCTTAAGTATTTAATGTTGTAATTCAATATTGTTTCTTTTTTTATTATTGTATTTTCAAAAATTAAAAAAAAAATTGGTTATGAAATTGCTAATTTTTAAATGTGTTTTTTTTTGTTAAAAATAAAAATAATTTTTTTTATGTTATTTGTAAAAAAAAAAATTATTGTAATTTTATTAGCGTAATAAGAGATTTATTATGCATTTTTATTTTTTGCATTTTGTGAAAAATTTGTTTATGGTAATTGACAAATATTCTTCCACACATGCATCATGCCAACAACATTAAAATAATAATAATTTTAATATATATTAAAAAATATATATATATATATTATGGAGGAAAGCCTCCATAATACGGAGGCTTCATGGAGATACCTCAAGCATGAGCCTCCGTTAACAAAGGCTCATGTGTGCTTGAGCCTCCATAATTACGGAGGCTCCAACGTGCATTTTTTTACTTTCTTTTTCCTTCATTGGCTCTCAGTACAATAATTTAATTTCATTTAATCAACTTGATTTTTTTAATATTCTTAAAATAAAAATACATAAAATAATGGAGGATTACTCTTTCTCCATTTTTACACACTACTGCCATACTTCTCTATTTCTCCATACTATCTCTTTCACCATTTTCTCACGATTTCAACCATGTATCTTTAGAAAGTTTATTTTTGAGTACATAAGTAAGTTTAAATAAAAATATTATTTTTATATATGTACGTAAAATGTATATAGTAACCATTTGGATGACCAAAAAATAATATCAATCAAAATGTTTACGAACCGTTTAAATAATAATTTATTGAGGGGGTTAATTCAAGAGCAAAAGTGTGAATTCCATAAATATATGATTGAAAATATGTTTGAAAAAAATAAATTTTAAAAAATAAAGACCAAACATAGTAAAAAATGAATATATTTATTTTTCGAAAAATAGGTTTTTATTACCATTTCATTTTTATCATAAAATGATTCTAATCTTAATATATTATATTGTACTTCAAAATTACATAATCTAGCAAATATAATTTTTAAAATTAATTTTTATAAAATAATATGTTTTTATGATTTTTTTAAGGTATAATATAATACTAAAAATATAAAATAATTAAAACTTTATTAATTTTATAATATAATATGTTATGGAGGCTCATACTGTGATGCCTCCATAATTGTTATGGAGGCTCAAGCATAAGCCTCCATAACATATTATTTTATAAAATTAATAAGAATTTAATTATTTTCTATTTTTTAGTACTATTATATTTCGCCTTCCAAAAAAAAAAC